TATATGGTTTTTACATGTAGTACCATTTATAAAGTGCCCTGTATATGTACGATTTGGTTTTGGAAGTGTTTCTCGTGCAACGCATCACACCGAAACGCAACGAATGCGGAAATAACTACGCCATCACAGGGCAAAAAAGGAAAGGGAATGTGACCTGATGAAGACTTCAAATTATTTGCAAAATATTGTGTAAAAATGCCAGCAGGACAAGGGTTAAGATTGTTTGGGCGATATAATCTTTGAAACCACATATACATCGTATTTAATGTTTCATTTTCATCCCTTTCCATAGGACAAGTGGCGCGAGCAGTTGACAAATGTTCCAAGAACTTCAACGAGCTTTAAAAGGCGTACCCCTTTCAGTCCTTGCCTTTTTCAACGCATTGTACGAAAAAGTCTTTCACATAATAATCCCGAAAAAGTCCCCCATCATTAACACTTAAAGTAATCAACTGAAAGTGGCACAGATGTCATTTCTAAGACAGTAAAAGCCAATGCAATATAAAATACTCCAGAAAGATCTGAAATGGCCATATTTGGAAACTTGGTTTTAAATGTTGTTTTCTTAGTATATCTAACAGTTCCAAGAGGGATTCTCCCTTCCCGGATTCACACCAACATCCGATGCCAAAGGTTTCGACCAGATGTATGCAAAAATACGACCTGTCCAGACATCCGTATGAGTAGTATTAATAACCTAGCGAACAGCAAGGGCGGTGAATGTGTCGCCTGCAACATGTCAGATTTTGGGAATTTCGAGTCACTTGGGTGTAACATTCCAGCCTCTGCCGTATCTCTTAAACTGACTGAAGTAACATGCACTAATTTTTCTCATTCTTTGGACCCCGTTGATAAGCTAGGAAACATTCGCTTTTTAGACATACGTGGGGCGAATCTGAAGAGACTGGCAACATCAGGTCTGGTGAGGTTTACAAACTTACAGTGGCTGAGAATTCGCCAGACATCACTGAGAGATTTAGTTCGTGGTGGATTCAATGGTCTGGGAAATGTGTTAGTGTTAAATGCGTCATGCAATCAGATGTCATCAATTCACCGTGGAGCTTTTCAGGGACTGGTTCGTAACAATATGCTTGACCTTTCACACAATGAACTGGTTAAGTTAGAGGAGCACTATTTCGAACCATTAGAAATGTTGACGATGCTGGACCTGTCTTACAACAAAATAGAAATGATCAAAAAGGGTACTTTTCAAAATAGGTTTTTCGGCAAACTTTCTCTGAGAGGTAACAAATTGAAGAGGGTGGAAAGTTATTGGTTTTTCGGCATAAGAAGTATGTCCACACAAATATTTCTAGATGAAAATTTGATTACCTCTATAGCGCCAGACGCCTTTCGCAGTCTTAAAGGCTTATCCCTTTTGAGCATAAAAGGCAACCCATTGACGATTTTGAGGCAGTCTTGGCTACGGGGGATAGAGCGACCACCATGGCTGTTTTGGAAAGGAACAAAACTTCGTTGTACCTGTGCAAATCGTTGGTTCGCAACCCGTGGCAGGACTTACTTTGATCTAATGCCTTCTATTTTACCCTGCCGCTACCCACTGGAGATGGAAGGCGAAGACATCTTCTCTATTCCCACAAATGACTTGCCATGCCCCTCGCCAGTGGTGAAGATTACGCAGGACATTGGTAATCATGATTTACAGTTTCGGTGCCAGGCGACTTGGGAGGAAGAAAGCAGTATCTTCTGGGTCCTACCAGATAACACTACTATTCTGTTGCCGGGTTTAGGCGAGGATGAGAGAAACGCCAGCCTGACTTCTCAGCACTTCAACATTTCATTCCAACACGACATAAGTGCTTGTGGATGGACATGGGAGACGCCGTCCCGTGTAACTACAAATTGCTCAAACAATCAGACAGCTCCAAACTATGGTGTCAGGACGGTGTCTATATTAGTGGTAGATGGAGAACTAGTCAAACAGTGGCACGGGAGAGCTATCCGATGCGGTGTTAAGTCTTTCACTAGCACTATCGAAACTGGAATGCTTGTCCCAGACAATTACAGTGGACCGCATGTGGTACACAGACTGGCCACCTCTGAGAGAAGTAGCACCAGCACGCCCACTCAGTCAACAGTCGTCAACACTAAAGCCTACACATATCCCTTCATAGTATTTCTTCCTACAAGAGTTCAGACATATCTGAACCTGAACTGGTACGTTTTTGTTCCCTTGTGTACAATACCCATTCTTGTCCTTTTCGCAGTCTGCATTGCTCTACGGAATAAACAGAATGTCTATAGGGAGGAACACGCGATGACCGAACTGCAAAGTAACAACCAACCGGGTAATGCCCCCGAAAATCAGGCTGACGGAGCTACTGTCGATAGCACTGCAATTGACCCATATTACTCAACGATAAAGGATGAAGACCTTGACGAAACTGTTAGCCCGTATGGTATGGCCAAGGCAGGTGCCCAGTACGGCCGTGGGAAGAAAAGGTCGCGTAGTGTCAGAGAGAACGCTATCACCGGTCCGACATCCAGGTCAGAACAGTGCAAATGTTACAATCAGAGAGATGGGGAAGATACTACCCCCGACAACGGGGATGCTCAAAAGAGGGAGGCTTCATAGAACTCTTGGTTGGGTAGTGCCTACTAGAATGGGTCAAAGGTAGTTGGAAGTTGGTACCGCCTCCCGTATCCCAAAGAGAAGGTCACATGATTTATTGATTGATTGATTGATTTATTTATTACAATTCACCACATCCACATGCGGAAGGCATGGTGGAACAGGGGGACCAAAGTGTACCTTTTGAAGCCCACCATGCCGACAAGACACTGTGCATAAAAAATACAAAACAATGATATTGTATAATTATAGCCTCTACCAGGCACCGCGGATCGCTGGAAAAATAGTAGAAATTGGCCGAAATAAAGGGATATTATACCAGGGAAGGTCCAAGGCCATAGAAGATACAATTTGCCCAAATTGGAGTTTCTATGGCCCTGAATCTTCTCTGGTATACTATCCCTTTATTTCGGCCAATTACTACTATTTTTCCAGCGATCCGCGGTGCCTGGTAGAGGCTAGAATAATTATACATGACAGTTTAAGCAATAATAGCTACACGTAACGGGGCCTCGTAGAGCGGCAGGTGGTACAGATACACGACAGCATGGCTTGGGAGAACGTTGTAACAAGTATGAGACCAAGCACTGTATCTGTTGTATTCAGAGAATTAAAGAAGACACTGTCCCAGATGACGAATTGTACAACAAAAATTATGTAGACACAATGACGCAGAAGCTTTGCTCCGAAAAAAACTAGCACATTTTGAACTTTTTTTTCAGCATTGCGGAATATGATATGGTTTAAAGGATCAATAGAGAATAGCGACAGAAGAAGGATGTGACAGACAACATCAACTGTAGAAATGCTTGTTTGCTTACGTATATATCGTATTGCGTATATTTGCCCATGTTTGCTTTAGCATACTACCTTCTTCAAGAAAGGGAATAGGTGCGAGGTTCGGAAGCTACAAGCAAGAACACTCTTACCTGGCATATATGTTGTTAAGTACATTATACCAAATGTAGCATGTACATCGATTGTTTAAATACCTAATATATTGTGAGCACTGATACGTCCGTTGACATTATTAGCAGTCCACGTTCTTGAATGTTTTGATTGTTTAAACTTGCTTGTATACAAAGACATACACCTATATACAAGGCACATACGTCACAGTAGTATTGTATATTAAGTTGTTATATTTGTACTCTTAGCTTTTGAATGTAACAATCTACTATCGTTGTTTGTTTCATATTGGTTAGCAATAAACTTATTCCCGACTTCCCAACTTATTACCTTTCTTAATTGTGTATCAGTGGCTCTTGATTAATGAGTAGGCTTCTGTTTTTAGTATAAATTAGAGCACTTGTGTATCGGTGGCTCTTAAGGAGTCTTGGGATATGAAAACGTTTAACCTTATTCAGACCGGGGGGGGGGGCTTTTGTGGCCCGCGCCAAATTTCATCTCAGATAGCGCCTGAACGGCTTGCGCTAGAAACGTCAAATTTGGTGACTTTTCCTAAAAAATATCTGGGAACAATTTCATATTAATTAGATGAGTTCTTGATTTTTTGCGTTGCCATGGCAACGGGGTTCTGACAGGCAGTTTGTGGAAAAATCAGTAATTTTGGTTCAAACATAAAAATTGTCTAGGTTTTATGTTTCATTAAACTTCCTTTTTAACATTTATAACATCTTATATAATTACGTATAATTTCTATCATTAAATATATTTATAATTTATGCCAATTTTATGACGTCATTGGTCAAAATCAAAGATGGCGGACCATATGATTAGCTGTTGTGTTACCATGTTTTTTTTACTAATTTTTTGTCTTAATCCCGTGTTTTTTTTTAATAAAAACGTTCAAATGAGCATCTTTAGTCTATTTGCGTTGCGTTTTGAGGCAAAATCGTGAAAAAATGCAATTTTTAGAATTAAAGATTTTCAATCCAAGATGGCCGACAGCTTAATCATGCATGATTTCATTTTATGACGTCATTTGGACGTCAGCGTTGTTGCCAAGGGCAACATAAGTATTAGCAGACATTAACATTCCGTCATAGACACTTTTTGTTAAAGTTTGGTTGTATTCCATTACGTTTTACGGAAAAAACTATTTTTGACGGATTTACCCCCAAAAATCATATAAATGACGTCATAATGACGTCATATGACGTCATAATTACACAATTTTTTTAGTATGCATTCATTTAATTTAATTATTTAATTTAATCACAGATAACTAGGAAAAATAGTCACTGAATCGTTATAAAAATCAGTCACTACCAGCTGCCCTTCCTGTCCCACGGCCACGCCTTCTGGCTCAAGCCCAGTCTCAAAGGTCCGGATATACTCGCCGTGACGTGTGAACATCTGTACCCTCTTGTTCTCACGGTCCGCCACGATGATGTGACCCAAGCGGTCCGTACAGATGCCGCGGGGAAACCGTAGTTGACCTTCACCACTTCCCTGACCTCCAAACTTCAGCACGAACTTCCCGGACTCGTCATACATGTAGACATAATTAGTGTTCCAGTCCGACACAAGAATGTTCCCTTCCCCGTCCACAGTGATGTACCGGGGGCGGCTCATCTCACCCCCAGGATGTCCGAACCTCCGCACCAGAGAGCCGTCCGGACGGAACACCTCAACTTCACCACGTTCTGCATCAGTCACCAGGATGTGGTTATTGCGCATGTCCACCGCAATCCCACGGTATTCACTGCTTTTCTGAAGATGAAACTGTGTCATGGCGGTTCCGTCCGTGCTGTACTGTACAACATGATCGGCTGATTCACCACTCCCCACTACCCACAGTGTGCCGTTACCGTCCATAGAAACGTCATATGGCCGCATGTCCTTGTCTTCTGTACTCGGTACGACTGTTGGAAAGTTGCGGAGGTAAACCCCTTCTGTGGTGTGGACTTGGACTCGCCTGTTGCCTGTATCAGCCACAAATATCTCGTTACCAGACGACACAACAATGCTGCACGGGCCCAAAAATTTCCCAGGTTCTGATCCCATCCCACCGTAAGTGATCTTACCCTGTCTGAAGACTCCAGTAGTACGAGGTGCCGCTGCCTCTGTCACTGCGGACGTGGGTCGCTTTTGCTCTGCTTGTACGTTAACTGGAGCTGCCATTCTAAAACAAAGTGACCTTAGCTTATGAATATGTATAGCAGCAGCAGTAGTAGTAGTAGTAGTAGTAGTAGTAGTAGTAGTAGCAGCAGCAGCAGCAGCAGCAGCAGCAGTAGTAGTAGTAGTAGTAGTGGTGGTGGTAGCGGCAGCAGCAGCAGCAGTAGTAGTAGCAGCAGCAGCAGCAGCAGTAGTAGTAGTAGTAGTAGTAGCAGCAGCAGCAGCAGTAGTAGTAGTAGTAGTAGTAGTAGCAGCAGCAGCAGCAGCGGCAGTAGTAGCAGTAGTAGCAGCAGTAGCAGCAGCAGCAGCAGCAGCAGTAGTAGTAGCAGCAGCAGCAGCAGCTGCAGTAGTAGTAGTAGCAGTAGCAGTAGTAGTAGTATCAGTAGTAGTAGTAGCAGCAGCAGCAGTAGTAGCAGTAGCAGCAGCAGCAGCAGCAGCAGCAGTAGTAGTAGCAGCAGCAGCAGCAGCTGCAGTAGTAGTAGTAGCAGTAGCAGTAGTAGTAGTAGTAGTAGTAGTAGTAGTAGCAGCAGCAGCAGCAGTAGTAGCAGTAGCAGCAGCAGCAGCAGCAGCAGCAGTAGTAGTAGTAGTAGTAGTAGTGGTAGCCTTGACAGGCTCCAAGAGCCTCATAGAGTTATGGTAATTGACAGTTATTCCATGGTACTTTTACCAATAGCAAATTGAATCCGTAACTCACCTCCCCTTTAAATCACAAAGAAGAAAATTAAAGAAATGCTCTGAACGTCACCCCTCCTTTAATGCGAAGTGTTCTTCGCTTTATGGCCCTGGGATCGGGAGTAGAATGGGCGTTCAAAAACTACATTTTGTAGTTTGACACTGTTGACCTAAAATGGCGGCCTTGTTGTGGTGCCACGTTTATAAAATACCTCACCTTCAGTGGCTGTACAAGTGAAGACCTGTAGAGGTACTGAAGGCCATTTAAGGGCTTACCTGCTTGAAGCTATTTGGAGACAGTGACGAAAAGTTAAACTGAATCAAGCAACAATCACCTTGCTGATCCACAAACGACTTCTTAAAGTTTTAGATGATCTGACTAATGAAGGTAACACTGTATATATGGCGACTGGAAGAACAGCAGTTTGTAATCTGTTGGCGGCCCTGTCGACATTTGCCATGACGTAGTGGTTTTTCTTGTTTCAAACGCCCCAGGTCGTCTGCTCGTGACGTCACATCCGCCTTGCTGACTGTTTGTACATGTATGATAGCAGAGTCATTCAACTATAACTAAATATGCATGTTTTGTGTCAATGGCAAGAGGCTGACATTACTGTATCAAGAAGTTCACCAGAAATGACTGAGAACTTTCAGTAGGATAATGAAAGAAAAACAACCCATATCATTGTATAAGAATATCACAATGCAAGTCACATGGGTACCATACCAGAACATTAGACTCACAGACCATCCGCCTTCCTAAACACTTACCTGGCATATATGTTTTTAATTATTTTATATACCAAATGTAGCATTTACATCGATTATTTAACCCTACCTAGACCGGGCTTTTTTTGACATGGGGGGGACCGGGGGGGGGGCGTCTTTGTACCCCCCCT